GTATGGTTCAAAAATTTTTTACATTAATATTTATTTGAGTTCTAAAAAGTTTAATTGTAGAATTAATAAAAAGAAATTAAAGCCTTGAACACTTTTAGAATAATGGAAGAAACTTAAATTGTTGGTTTTTTTTTTTTTGTTCGACATAATTGAGTTTGCCTTTTGAGCAGCTAGTTAGGTCTGCTTAATTCCTCTGTACATTTAACGCTTATAACATGTTTACTTAGTTTAATTAGTTGTTTTTATTGGTAAAATTTCATTTGAGTTAATTGCACATGGAAAGCTGCCATGTTTTAGGTTTATTTATAGCATATTATTTGGACGCCAATTTACAGATTTATGGGTCCTAGTTGAAGTTTAAAAAAATTTTAAGCATAAAACAAGCAGTTTATCGAAGTGGCAGAGACTCTAAGGGTCCAAAAAAGTAGTGAAGTTGTTGTTGCCGTCAAACATAAAATAGTGACTAATGGTTCTCATTCATGAACTTGTGCGATTCTTTAAATTTCTACTTGCGGATCACTCGGCAAGTTTCATTTATCTTTTTGAAATGGCTGCTTTGAAGGGTCGAGTTTTTGTTCCTATCAGTTAGTCTCACTTCAGGTGGTTTCTTAAATGAACCTCATGTAGTCGGTAGCATCTGGTTGCTCAGATTATGCAATCTTTGGGCATACACTTCTTCGGCATTATCATGAATAATTTTTGTAAATTCACTAGTTTTTCTTTTTTTTTGGTCAGGAACTGCTATTTACTTACTGAAATATTTTGTGTTATGAATTCTTTCACAGTATTTCTCAACTTTTCATTCAAAATTATGGTAAGGCGAAAAAAATTGATATTCAGGGACGACGTTGTTGTTTTGCAGCTGAAGACGACCCGTCTTTTTACTGAGTTTTTTTTTATGCGAACTGTGGTTTTGATATGGCTTTGTTGTTTTGCCAATAGGAAGCATTTGTTTTGATAATTATGAACTTGTCAAGAAGCTTGTTATTGGTTTTGACGGTGTGAATTTTTTAAAAGTCTTTAGTTTTTGTAATTTTTTTTTGAGCGAAAGTGTCAAGCATCAGTTTCGGAAGATTGACAAGCTGAAGTCACACTTCTTTTGTTGAGCAAATAATCATTTTTGTTGGCTATAATAGGCTACTATAATATTTGTTTATGAAAAACTCAGAACATTAGTGTCATGGTTTTCTTTTTTCTTCTTTCTCTTTCCTTTCTACCAAAAGAACGAAAAAAAAAAGAACCAATGACATTCGGATTCAACTGCAAATTTTATAGACGAAAAAGCTATTAACACTGGGCATCTTCTTGAAAGGTTGGTTGCTATTACATTGGAGATAGTGTCACATGGGTTTTTTTTTGCAGTAAATTTATTAGTTGACTTTTTCAATTGTTTTAAATTTTTCGTAGGCTTTATAGCCTTCTTAGCCAAAAAATAAAGAAAAAAACGATTTTTTTGCATGGAAATATTGTTTTAAGTAAAAATTTTTTCAACTGAATAAGTGACTGTAGAGCTCTGTTGCAACAGTAATTAATCGTTATTAATCGTTTATTTATTAGCGACGTCATATCATTGCTCAAATTTCTGCACATTGGTCACTATGAGCTTTATGAATTCTTTTCTTTCTTTGTTTTTTTTTTAATTAAATCTTGGTGAAAAGGAAACAGTATAACGTTTACCCAGTCCAGTTGATGTGTTTGGTTTTTAAATGGAAGGACGAAGAAGACGGATATGCTGTCAATCTTTTCACTTAAAGTAAATTTTGCGCAATTATGTTTGCAATCAACGCTCTAATTTTTGTTGATTAATGCTTTTCAGACATGTATCTTATACTATAGATTCCTGTTTTTTCCTGTATTTTCTCTTGACACACTATGCACACTTTTCATTTAGTTTGTTTAACTTTCTACTGGTCACTTTAGCACAGGACTTGATTTAATTGCAGTAAAAGCAGTAGCAGCATCTTTTATTGTCGAGAAGGACCGGGGGCGGGAAGAAAAGGGGAGAGAGAAGAAAAATTGTAAAAAAAAAGAAACAAATTGAAAGGATTGTGACAGTGTGAGGAAAAAACGGAGATCTATTAGCAAATTATACGCTGCTGTTAGCTTATTTTGCTTTATTGTAAATTTCAATCCTAGTCTTTTTTGATTGTCTTCAAATTATTTCAGTTTTTGTTGTTTTAAAAGTTGCTCCACGCTGTTGAGTGCTCAGAGTCTCTAATTTGGTTCTTCTTTCTTTTTTTTTCTGGTGAACGAGATTAACGAGTTTACCTAAGATTAGTTTGGAAGCAACCACGGTACAACAGAATAAATAGTTGAATGGATAGATAGATAGATAGATAGATAGATAGATAGATA